TTTATATATGGAAAATAATTCCATTTGTATCTATACTATTGATTTTCATAATTCATAGTAAACAAGGCACCTAAGCTTGCTTGAGAGAGAGGCTTAATGGAAGAGTTATTCAAGTAACATGTATGTAACATGAATGTAATGGAAGGGAGGGAGGGAGGGAGGGAGGGAGGAAGGAAGGAAGGAAGGAAGGAAGGAAGGAAGGAAGGAAGGAAGGAAGGAAGGAAGGAAGGAAGGAAGGAAGGAGGGAAGGCTGGTCATTGATTTTGAGCAAAGTTACTGAAAACGGACAGCCCTCGTAATGCCCCACCTGAAAACAGCAGGCTGCTGAATCTCCTGAGAATCTTCAGAATAGTTCGTTGTTGCTCTTTCACTAGACTTTCTGTTGCCAATCTCCCAGTTGGCTTTCTTTGTTGCAGAAAGCCGCAGAAGATTTGCCAAGATGAAAACATTATTTCCACTGCCCTTGCAAATGTACCACATATCATAAATGCAGGCTATCTCAATTTTATGGGAAACTTGGAGAAGAGGGGAAAAAAAAATTAAACAGGGAAACTACCAAGGAAGTTGTTTCAAAAGAAGTGATTTAATCCAATTTCAGCCAAACTAAGAAATGCCTTTGAAAATAAATAGAGAAATGTCAACATTAATCCCGTAAATTTTGAGAGAGGAATTAGAAAAAGGGGGGGTAACTTCGCTCTGATAATATTTATAGTACTGAATATCTGCAGAAGGAAAGATAAGATCTAAAAGTCCTGCTAGTTCAGACCGCAGGGTTATTAAATGCACCATTCCCTTTCCACTGAGGTTACCAGATGCTGTGTTCCCAACATGTCATTCAAAGATTCAGGTGTGGTCCTCAGTAGAAATTAGGCAGTTTTGATTTACCCTAATTGAGAGCAGCTTTCCAGGCTTTCAGACTAAAGACTTGCTTAGGGGTGTCTGAGATGTTTTTGTAATCCTCCCTCATTGTTCGACTCAAGCAATGTTTCCCTTTTTGTTGCTTTGGTAACTGATCTTCTCCCTTTTCATCAAGTGTCATCTTTACTCTCTACAAATCATTGAGCATGCCAGTATTTCCATCTTGTTCAAACACTGTATTTTATCTTTCAGCTATTCAAGGAAAATGATTAGTGACTTATTTTCTTTCCCTCAATATTGCCACCAGATTGCTCTGAAAAAATACACACAAAAAAATTCCTTTGGAAACATAATTCATCACAAATATCCAGCCGCAGGTAGATCTGCATCATCTGACTTAAAGCAACACCCTCTGATTTAAAAAAAAAATGCTAAGCAAAATCTAACTGGGATAAAACCTGATTGATAGACCAAGGCTTTGGACTAGAGTGGGAAGTTGAAAAAAGCTCACAGAACATGGCAGGAGTGAACAGATTCCATACTGAGACTATGAAGTAAACATGGATATTTTCATGTAATTGCTATGAGTTAATCTCAGATCAAGAGAATGTTTACCTTTTTACTTCCCACATGTGCAACTTCTTAGTACATTACTTTATAATCACCACACTTTTATAATCCTCACCCTTTCAATTATGAAGGAGCACATCCCTCAAGACTCATGATGAGGAATACAACATCTCTACTCAAATTGGTTTCTATTTCTCTGCAGCTGTTGATCTCCTTTTAGATGCCTTATGGCTAGCAACCACCAACTCAAGGGACTACATTTAGTGGGAGCAACCGATGAGCTAACTAACACTGCTATTTCAGTGAGTTTTCTCTAGGGATTGACAACTCCAATCCCTGAGTGATTTGCTAGTAATGAGAATCCCTGTTTGTAAAGGTATAAACCTTTACATACTGATGTGGGAAATTGGAGAGCTCTATCTCTTTTTTGGTTCAAGAGATAATGTCCTCTTGACCTTACAATCATGCTCACATGACTCCCCATCCCCATTCATGAACTATGAGAAATGATAGTTTTAATAGGGTCTGCTACTCGTCTCTAGCTAGCTTGCTGTTTATTAAATCCACTCACAACAATGCTGTAACTAAGAAACACCATCAATACATAAATGTAAGGAGAAAATGTGCAAATTTGTGAACAATTTTAAATTTGGATTAAGTGAAAGGCTGAAGTGATGTGTATAACATCTTAGAGGAGGGATTTTTAAGCTTGTAATTATCTGCTGATGAGAAGGTTAGAAGTCATATTTTATAACCTTTCTTATATATATATAAGAATATAACCATATTTCCTAAGGCTCGTCTTTTACTTTATGTAAAATTCTTAATAAACATAAATAATTTTTTAAAAAGAATGTCAGTCAAAGCACCAAGATGCATACTGAGAATATTAAATCATGTGTACTTTACGGAATGCTTAGTCAAAGAATTGTCCAAATGGTCCAAGGTTGTAAATTAGGGTGTATGTTGTATGTGTGTGTTAAATGGTTAAATTCTTCACACAACTTACAGTCAACAGGCAGATTAGCTAAAGCAGTGGTTCTCAACCTGTGGGTCGGGACCCCATTTGGGGTCGAACGACCATTTCATGAGGGTCGCCAAACAACGCAGTCCGCCATTTTTCCCCCTTTTCCTTAGCTGTGCTACTCCCTTTTATTCTATTGACTTTTGAAAGCCAATAGAATAGACTCTCTTGAATAGAGTCTAATTCTATTGGCTTTCAAAAGCCAATAGGAATTGTCCAGGCTGTCTCTGCCCTGCTGAGTCTGCCAAAAGTCCCATTCTGCAAACGGTGCTGCACCAGTTGAGTAGTCCTCAACTTATGACCGGTTGAATAGTCCTCGACTTACAACTGGTTGGGGGGTCGCGGCATTAAAAAGGTTGAGAACCACTGAGCTAAAGAAAACCTGCATGGAAAGAGGCAACCCAACTTTGATACTATATGCAAACCATAAGCAGTAGCACATTGCCATCAACACACTTGAAGATCAACTTATCAGGATGCAACAGAAAAAAAACACAAAAGTATACGGACTTTGTCCTCATCCAAGAAAGCAAACCCCAATAACTGATAATAAAACTTTTCCAGATGCTTCAATTGCAAACCTAACACCATTTTAGAAGGATGCAACTCCAATACAAATGTGTCTTAGGGAAAGCATTTTGCTGTGATCAAAAACCACAGAGTAGATCTTTCAAAGCCTCCTTTCTCAGGCGGTTTATTATTACAGCAAGGCTTTGTACACTAATATGAGTCATACAACAAAAGATGTAAAAATGATACGTTATAACTATGAAATCCCCAAACCACTGAGAAAACTCAAGTTACTAACAAAAAAACACTACAGGATGAGAAAAAATAGTCATGAGGGTAAGTTCTTCAAAAATGACTAAGCCTCCTTTGAGGTGCTAGAATGGAGGCTGCACCACAGGTCTCGACTCATTGAAGGGCAAGGACCTGTAAATGTTTGTATCATCCTCCTACCTCAAGAGAAGATAAACTGGAATATTTAAGAAGAGGTTCGCCTGCAAGAAAGCCAAGGACATTCTCCCCATGGAAAACATGATGGGAGAGTACAATAGACTTCCTATATGGTTTAGATACTATATGTTTAATGGAAATCCCTCCTCCCAACTCCCACCCCCCTTTTTTCCTCTTGAATTGTGGCTTATCCTAAAGTCTTTTGGAATGCTACATGGAATTATAAGATGCATTTCACAGTGAGAATTAGAAAACTCCCATTTTTTAGTATCAGGCAATCTTAGAGACATGCGCACGAAATCAAACTGAGCCATCTGTTCTGGAAGAATACTGATACATTTGGGCATTCTTTTATATGTCAATGAGTTTGCAACATCTCTCTGTTAATGGTGCAATATGAAGTTTATCTTCAAGTCATAAGACAGTCCCAGATAATAAGAATGCGTAGCACAGGATCAAAGGCCAAGCCCTTACATTGGTTAATTAAGGATTAAATGACAGGAAGTAAAGAGGGTGGTGTTTGCCTTTGGCAAGAGGTTAGCATGTTTTCCAGTTTTATAGGCAGTCCATGAATTAAGAACAAATTATGTTCCCTAACTCTGTCTTTAACCCAACTTTGTATTTAACTCAGGACTTGTACAGGTAGTCCTTGACTTACAACAGTTCATTTAGTGACAATTCGAAGTTACAATGGCACAGAAAAAAGTGAACTTATGACTTTTTTCACACTTACAACTATTGAAGCATCCCCATGGTCACATAGCCAAAATTCGGATGCTTGGCCACTGGCATGTATAATGGTTGCAATATCCTGGGGTCATGTGATCACCTTTGCAAATTTCTGACAAGCAAAGTCAATGGGGAAGACAGAGCCACTTAACAATCATGTTAACTAACTGAACAATTGAAGTGATTCATGTAACTGCCGTGACAAGAAAGGTTGTAAAATGGGGCAAACGTCACTTAGCGACTGTCTCACTTAGCAATAAAAACTTGGGGGTCAGTCACGGTCATAAGTCAAGGACTATCTGCATTTGTAACGGGCTGCCTGTTACAACAAATGGTAGATGGTATTCTCCCTCCTCAAATGGACAAAGTGCTGAAGCCATGCAAAGCTTTCAGGAACCAGTGAAACTGCATTTTTAACATACAGCCTATTTTCCATGATTTTTAGCAATTCCTGAAAACATTGTATGGCTTCAATGCTTCATTGGCTCGAGAAAGAAGAAAGCAATCTGCCATTTTTAATAATAGGTAGACGATTTGTATATAGGTGTTGTCCTTAAGTCAGATGTTCTTAACCCTGGACTGCTACCTGTAAAACAGCAGCCCCCAACCTTTTAGGCACCAGGAACTGGTTCTGTGGAGGGTGGTTTTTCTGAGGACCAGAGGTGTGTGGTTTCAAGTGCTGCCTTGAATCCCGTGTGTGCATGGATGGGGGTTCAGATAGGGCTTGCGCAGACTGGTTCCCAGCAGACTGTAAACCAATGCTGGGACACGGCCCGGGGGTTGGGGACTTCTGTGGTAAAATTATGGGCTTCAGATACAATATTACTAAAAATAATAAAGTTACTAGAAAATTATGACTTACAGCATTCAATGGGATTGGATGCAACTTGCAAAGAAACTATCCGGCCACTGGATTCAGGAATGTGCACGCGGAACACCAATCGCACACGGGTGTTCTTTCGGCCAATATCTGTTTCTCCTTTCCGTAATTCAATGTCTGCATTCCTCAGCTTGAGAATTCCTGCACAGTCAATGCTATGAAACAAACAAATAACTGAATAATTCTTGTCCAGTGACACCAGTACTTTTACCCCAACTACATTTGCAAGCTAATCACTCCCCACACCTGAAATTAATGTCTCTTTTTGTTTCTCTGATTATGACTACAGATTTGGCTTGGCTTTTTTTTATTGAATTTCATCAAGGGGCTGGCTGATTTTCTATTTTCCCTGAGGGAAAATGGACCACTGTACCTCTGCAAGACTATGAATTTCATCTTACCTCTGTTAGCTTACAACCATGTCACTCAAACAATGGTTCCAAAGAAGGAAATGCAAGTAATTCCAGATGGCTTATTCATGAAATACTTTATGTAGTCCTAATCTGGAAATCAGCTGATACCAATGGACCACTCCAATAATGCTGACTGATACAAACATTCCTAAATCTACAACTCTCCATTATTCTATGGAATATATTTCAGTGATTTTTCAGTCTTAAGCATCTGACAATATCTTTCTTTTCAATGTCATTGTCCCACCTGGAACAATGATTCACTGGACTCTTGATATTATCTGAACTTAGTTTTCTTACTATTCACATTTTTTTTCCTAGACAATCAAGAATCTACAGTTCAACCCTGAGCTACATATATTCTCCACATTCATAACAACTTGAGCAAGTAGCATTACTATAGCCATACTGCTTCCATCTATCCATCCAAATGTGAATGCTCAGTATAGATACTAGACTCTAGAGCATTTGATGCTCACCCCAGTTCAAAATCTATGAGGGAAAGAAGTCAATTCAAATGATAATTTATGTTGGGAAGAGGCTGATTAATTGAAAGATCCTCTTCTCCCAAGAACTGGCAAATTAGAACGTTCTCCTGGTGCAGAAATCAGAGCATCTAATGATCAGGTGCTTGCACTACAAAGGCTCTTCAGTTATGGACCTTGAGAAATAGGAGTTTCCAGGAAAACTGACAGATTTTTCAAGACTGGTGAATTATGTGTCTATTCTGCTAACAAGATCTCCAGTAGAAAACGATCTTTCTCCTAATGTGTAACCTCTGTTAAGGGATTGAAGAGGACCCCTTCTGCACTCACTTGAAGTATTCTATTACTGAACTACAGCAAATGCCATGGTAAAGCAAAGTGGGTTTACACTTGAGAGTTTTCTCTACAAATTAAATACAGGCATCTTTTACATTAATAATGTTAAGTTCTCCTTTGTTGCTATCTTACATTTTCTAATATAGAACCTTACATTGCTTTCATGTTGTTTTTTGGCTCCAGAGGGATTTCCAGCACTTTGGTGTTGCCAATTATTTTCTCAAAGCTGGTGGTAGTGACTGTTTTCCCTGTGATGCGATGGACTTGGTAAAAAGCATGTGGCTTAAGAATCCTCTCATCTGCTGTTCCAATGAAGATCTGAAGGCCCAAGGGCTTGTGGTCCACATAACCATGAAGCTGGCAAGAGAACAAACCATTTACACAATTATCTTAACGACAAATACAGCAAGAATTGAAATATTTTAGCAGTGTCAGATAAAGAACACAAAAAGCTTATAATTGCTCATCTTATTCCCTATGGTAAGTGAAGATCACCTCAAGATAAACAGGCATTTTTTTATAACTTAAGAAAGATATTTCCTTTCCTTTCCTTCAGGCTAAAATAGTTTTGCACAAAAAGAACATGGATAAATTAACTAATGAAGAATACTGTGTAATAATGTTATTATCTCTTGTGGCTTTATTTTGCAAGACTGAAATATGATTATTCCCGATTATTATTTTCCAAAAATGAGATATGTGATAGTTCTAATAGGAGCTGTTTTGAAGTTTCCAATCTTATTTTATTTGGTAAAATGTTTGCTCTTAGCATCTTCACAGTTTTCATAATTGGAATATAACTTATTGAACTGTACAGAACCATCAACCATTTTTAAAATGTCTTTCAAAAAAATTATGTGTCTAAGCTCACTTAGACACCTCTGCACTAAATGTGTCAAAGCCATTGTGTCAAATGGAAAAGGAAAGTAGCTGTAACTTCCCTATTATGATTTTAAAAAAAACCTTGCATGTACACAGAATTATTAAAACTATTAAACGTAAGTGCCTAAGCACTGGTAAAAGTGAAAGCATCAGTGAAATTGAAAGAGAGAGAGAGAGAAAAGCTAGGATTGCAATAATTAGTCAGTTAATGGCTACAATTCATTAATCAAAGACATTTTGCTCATCTAAAAACAAAGCCAAAATCAGTCAGACCATAACCATTATAGATCTTGATTAGCCTTTCCAGTCTTCATTATGGGCTCTTTGTCACAACCACATTATTCAGTATGTCTCCAGTATTCAAGTCAGCAGAAAAACAATTTTTTAAATTTATATTTTAAAACCACCCAGTAGCTGAAGCTCTCAGGGTAGATTACAGTAAAATACATTAAAATACAATTTGAATAAAGACATATGCAATAAGATGCAAAATAAAAAAATCATATAAAACAGGCTGATCACTAACATGTGTTAATAGTATTCCAGAATAATATTATTCCATGCTGGAGAATTCTGGAAATGCACACATCTTAAAGTTGCCAAGTTTGAGAACACCTATGTTATAAGATAAGATCACCTTTATTCTCTTTTTTTTCTGTAAACACAATGGCACACATTAAAAATGAAATTTTTAATGTTATATGTAGGGATCCTGTGTAAGGCCCCTACAAAAGGCCTACCTCTCCTGTAGCCCAAGCCAAAATGGCCACTGAAGGCACTATCCAGTGATCAGAGAGAAGAGGTCAGCATGGGGAAATAGCCAAATGAAAGCAGATGCAGTGCCAGACTGCACCATTACCCACGTCATCAGTGAGGCATCACAAAATATACAAATGACAAAACTTGAATCAAGAGAAAAGGAAAAATACCTTAAAACTCAACTGCTGAAGTAATGTACACAAGCTACCTCCTCAATTGGCTAAGGATGAGATAAAAGTTGTATTGGAGGACATATTCTCTCAAAATAGTGAGTAGAGGGGTCTAGGGCAACTTGCAACAGCCATCTTGCTATGGCCAATGCAGCACAGTCATCTTGCCACGGCCAACTCACCTTGGGACTACTCACCATGGCCAACTTGCCAAGGAACAATCCAAGTGGGATAACTCAACACAATAAATGTTATCCACCACTGTTTCTTCAACATTATTTCCATTTTTGTCAATAGAAATAATGCCAAAGAAATAGTGGCATATAATATTTATTGCGTTAAGTTATCCTACGTGGATTGTCCTGCAGTGAGTTCGCTGCAGCGAGTTATCCCATTCCATGAGCAGACCCAGTATTTACAATCAGAATTAAAATATTCCCAAATATCACTGCACAAAGACATTGGAAAGAGGCACTATATGAAGCAGAAGTTGAATTCTCATAAACAAATGCTGGATTGTCACCTGAAAAATTGAATCTCTCGATTGTTTTTCTGAAGAAAATCGTTGCTCCTTTTTCCTCTCTGACAAAACTATAACAACAGCAAAACCCTTCCAAGACAGGACGTCTAGAATCTTTCTTATAATGCAAGGAAAAACTTCAAAGCTAACTCTGAAGGCTTAATTTCAAAAGGTAAGGCATCAACTGAATGCTTAGCCAAAGTTTTTGGTAGTTTAGATTTCCAGTTTACAGAGCATTTCCTGCTTTTCAATTGCTGGAAATAATCTAGTAGTTAAAGAAATAATCTGTAATTATGATTAGATCAAATCCAAGGAAGTGTGTGTGTGTGTGTGTGTGTGTGTGTAATTTATCATGAGGGTGTACAGTATATAAATACAACAAACACACAAACCATACCTATGTCCAGAAAAGAGATGTTTATATTAGTAAATAAAGTAAATATGTAAATAAAACCTGTGCATAGAAAAAGTAGTTGCAGCTTATAACACAAGAAAATAAAAGTGCAGTAAAAAGGAACTGAACATAGCATTACAGTTCCAAAACCTAGTCACAAATCAGGCTACCAAATTCAATCACAGTTTTTTTATCTTGTTTTTTCCCTTCCAGATAATTCAAAAACAAGACTCAGAGTGGCAATGCATGTGTCTAGCACCCAACAGTATATATTTCAAAATTTAGGTAATGTATTCAATTTCAATGTCAAGTTATGGAGACCCAGCAAGTAATATACCTTCTGCTTTCTGAGACAGGCTCCATTCAAAGCCACACATACAAACAAATGCAACTCCATACTAAAGGCTGATGCACATGTTTGTCCAACAATAATAGGTGTGATGGCTCAACAGCTAGAGATGCTGAGCTTGTCAGTTGGAAAGCTGACAGCCTGGATTCAAGATCCAAGTGCTGCGTGATGGAGTGAGCTCCCATTACATGTCCCAGGTCCTGCCCACCTAACAGTTCGTAAGCATGCAAATGCAAGTAGGTAAATAGGTACCACTTCACTGGGATGCTAACAGCGTTCCATGTGTCTTGGCGTATATGTAGTCATGCTGGCCACATGATCATGGATGTGTCTTCAGACAATGCTGGCCCCCTCAGCTAAGAAATAGAGATGAGCAGACATGACTTGAAAGATAAAACCTTTAGTTTTACCTTTAGTATGCAACACCTCTGGCTAACTATTTGGATCTCAATGCTCAGTAAAGTCTAGTGCAGACATGTCAAACTCGCGACGTCACGTGACATTGCGCAATGTATCGGCACTGTTTTGCCATTGCCGGCAATGGGGTGGGCGCGGCTTCTGTGTGATGTGTCCGGCCCACGGGCTGGCAGGTTGACATCCCTGGTCTAGTGTATCCTGACAGATTCCAAAATGATTGCTTTCTCTCTCCCTTGGCCTTGATCTTGATCAGCAGAAGCCACCTTTCCACAAAGTCCCTGATATGACATTACTCTGCAATAGTGTGTGCAGCTGCTCATGTTGACAAACCCAACTGCTTTATTTAACAACCTCTCCCTCCTGCTTTTCAGTACACCATGTTGGTTTGACAGCACAGAATAGACTGACAGGAGACCTTTTTCTACGATTTCAAATTTGAAGCCAGCCTTGTAAAGCAAGGTTACATAGAGCTGCTGTGACGTTTTTTACTTGAGCGCAACAACTTTTGCTGTAGATCTACTATGAAATACAGTCACACTTTGCATGTTCTGTAGAAAAGGTTTGAGAGGATGCACAAGTAACTTGTGCTTCCTGTCTCTCCCAGGTTTTGAGAAATGGCAGGAAATGCTCGCACCCATCCTTTGCATGAAGCTCAGAAACAGAGGAAGAGGAAGCACAGGTCAATCACAGAAAAAGGTACATCATTACGGACCAAAATATTGTCTCTCTCCAAGTACAATCCCAGTACAGGAAAAGTACAATCCCCTTTGGGAGAAGCTGAAGTTGTCTAGGAGCAGGATCTCTTATTTAAAATGTCACTTTCAGGTTGAGTGAATTTGCAAGATATGCAACCTTAAAAGCCGCTGTGACAAACAAAAACCCAAACCTACACAAACAGACAAACAAAACAACAGAACATTAGGGAGAAGTTTAACCTTTCCTTAATATGAAGCTATGATCCTGGGAAAGCAGAGTGGAAATTTATTCTTAAAGCGGCAAAACAGCTACAACTTTTTGAAAGCTTGGAATAGTTGTGTAGAGACTGTCCCAAGATTCCTAGGCCTGCAGTCGGGAGGTGATGTGTCTTGTGTATGCATAGCTATTCCCAGAAGATCACAGGAGGACCTCAAAACAGCCACACCAAACTTCTGAGCAGTTGTGGCTACTTCAGAATTGGATGCAAGCAAAGTACCTCCATGGAATGATTTACACAGTCCTAATAAATATATACATATCTTTGATCTACCTGGCTAACTGTATGTTTAAGGTAGTGTAAATCACATTTAACGTCTCCTTCTCTAAGGAATTCAGAATAGCTCATTCAGTCCCACCTCTTGCTGATGTTATTAATCTTCTAATTGCCTCCCTCAAAATTTCTTAAAAAGCCTTTCAACAAAGATCTGAATGACAGAAGTGTGTGGGAAGGGGGCAAATGATATGCTAGCAGAGACATCAAATGTCAGAAAGCCACCTCCTAGCCTTGGAAGTAAAAAAAATACTTTTTTCCCTTTAAATTCTCTGAAAACTCTTCCAAGGAACATTAGCAGTAACAGCATACTGTGGCATTGCCTAAAGTCACATGAGCCAAAATGAAGTTTTACAAACAATATATTATAGATTTTGAGTTGGGAATGGCCTGTAGTTTCAAACTTCCTAATTTGCCAAAAGACTATTAACGGCTTGACTTAAGGAACTCCAGGATGCAACTGCCATAGCAAAACAACAAAAAGATCCCCAAATCTTTTGGATTTTCAGTTTTTCATCAAATGACTAGCTACCATCAGAAATAAAAAATTGACACCATACATCCCAAATCCCCCCAAATTAAGCAGAGCACTCCATAAAATACATGTGTGGATTATAAAC